AGAAAAAAAAGAGCTATAAAGCCCTGAAAAGATATGGAGGAACCTTAAATGCATATTAGTAAGCGAAAGAAGCCAGTCTGAAAAGGCTATATACTGAATGATTCCAACCGTATGACATTCTGGAAAAAACTATGGAAATAGTAAAAATATCAGTGGTTGCCAGGAGTTAAGGGGGAGGGAATGACGAACAGGCACAACACAGAGGATTTTCAGTGCAGTGAAACTACTCTGTATGATACTATAATGGTGGATGTCGTTATAAACTTATCAAAACCTTTAGAATGTACAACCCCAAGAGTGGACTCTAATATCAACTATGGCCTTTGGGTGATAATGATGTGTCAATGTAGGTTCATCAGTTGTAACAAATGTACCACTCTGGTTCAGGAAGTTAATGATGGGGGAAGATGATGCATGTGTGGGGGCAGGGGGTATAGTGGAGATCTCTGTACCTTCCCCTCAATTTTGCTGTGAACTCAAAACTGCTCTAAAAAGCAAAGTCCATTAGAAAGTGAAGTGAATTTAAAAAACGAATTTTCTTGTTTAATGAAGAGAAGGATCTTTACTTAGAAGTTTGAGGGAGACACATGGATATATAAAATCCAAATGAATGGGCATAGATTTTTTTAAAAATCAGTAATAGAAAGAGAAAAGCAATAGCAAACAAGACATAAAGCTTTAAGTAAACTGAGGAATCTCTATTAAGACGTTTCTGCAAAAAGCAGACAAGTAGCTTTACAAAGATAAGCATAGCCTCTAAAGAGAAGAATTTTTTGGAAGACTGCATTTTTCTCTACGATTTTGCAATTAGTAATCTCATAATCCATAGATTTAACGTAAATTGTAGCACAAAGAATTAGAGTAAATTCTGTGTAATATACTACTATGAATTTGCATCTCCATATCAATCAAAAATGTCAAAAATTATGACTATTACTTGCTTTATCTAATCGTTCATGTAATGTCATTGCTAGTAAATAATAGCGATATTGAGGGAGGTGGCTGAGTAGGAATTCCAAGATTTTCAGGCTACTAACCAAAGGGTGGACCCAAACCTTTTTCATATTGATTGTGGTAAGTAAATAAGGGAATGTTACCATTATCATTATGTGCTTGAGTATTCTATCTGATTCTTGTAGAGCCTGCCTGTCCACCTAGACATTTTGCCAGTATTTCTGATAGCTAAGAGACAGTTAATAAGTACCTACTAGTGGCTATGCAAACTCAAAGCTAAAGCTCTCATTAGGCATGGAGACTTGAGATAAGGCGTATCTCTATTGTTGGTATTGGCTTTTTGTTCACTAAAACTCAAGTGATGCAGACACAACAAGACGTAAAGAAATAGAAGCATAGAAAACCAAACTGCTGCCCTGCACACTCTTATTTGAAATTTTAAGTATTATTATTTATCCTGTCATTTAGTTCTCAGAAGATCATACGATCAGAAACACTTGGAATCCTCTCAAAATGAGAAACCTAAATTACGCTCACTTTATCGAATAGAGCCTCATCTTCTGGCAATTGTTAATGTTTGGTACTGTTGCCCAACAAGTCCCTTGGGAAATGATCTTATCCATTGTATGGGTCCATGTTTGTTCCTGCTTTTCTTCTCTGAAAGTTTCTTACCTTGTACCTTTTCCATTTCATGCTCCATAAACTGGGAATTCCTAAAGATTGTGTCTTTAGTTCTGATCATTTCTTCTATCCATCTACCCATCTAGTTGTTCAGTTAATATTTATTGAGCATTTATTATATGTCACATACTCCGCTGTTTCCTAGGGAGACCAGGGAACAAAATAGATGCTTTCTGCCTTCATGGAACTTTTTCAATATCAAATCTCATTCATCCTATGTAATGTCTTCCTCCAGTAGTTTAAATAAAGTGATGACTTCCTCCTTTGACGGTCATAGTATTTTATTTATTTTATTTTTATTTTTTATTTTTTCATTTATAAACAACAGAAATTTACTTTTCCCAGAAATTTATTTCTCACAGTGCTGGCAGACTCAGTGTCTGGTGAGAGCCTGCTTCCTAGTTCATAGATGGCTGTTTTCTTGCTGTGTCCTCACATGACAGAAGAGGGTGTGGGAGCTCTCTGGGGCCTCTTTTATAAAGGCACTAATCCCATTCATGAGGGCTCCACCCCCTTGAACTAATCACCTCTCAAAGGCCCCACTCCAAATACCATCACTTTGGGGATTAGGTTTCAATGTACGAATTTTGGGGGGACACAAACATTCATTCTATAGCAGACACATGGAGTAGAAGGTGTCAGTGTCCACAGGGAATATACCCTCATCCAGCCATTCTTAATGTGTATGCAGAGTCACCCCCACGGATTATACATTAGCCCCAGGATGTCATGTCAGATTTGGTTCAGATATTCACCCTTGCTGAGACAAAACAACCATCCCCCTTCCTATTTCCCTGGGAGTACTTTAGGGGTTGGGAAGAATCTCCAATAACATCCTCAGAATACAAACCATCCTAATTTGTATTATCCCATTTTCCTAGAAGGCTTCTCACCCTACACTTCTCAGTATAGCTATAATAGATCCAGATGTCCTTCTGGATCTGTCTTTCTCACTCTCTTTTTATTTTTATTGAGGTATAATTGACATATAACATTATATTAGTTTCAGGTGTACAACATAAGGATTCAATATTTGTATTTGTTGTGAAATGATCACCAACATAAGTCTATTTACAGGAACTCTCCTTCATTGCTGTTGGGAATACAAAATGGTACAATGACTTTTAAGACAGTTTGGCAGGTTCTTATAAAACTAAACATGCTCTTATCATACAATTTAGCAATTCTGCTCCTTGTTATTTATCCAAAGGAGTTGAAAACTTATGTCCACACCAAAAATCTGCACACCAAAAATCTTTATAGCAGCTTTATTCATAATTGCAAAAACTTGGAAGGAACCAAGATATCCTTCAGGACGTGAGTGAATAAACTGTGATGCATTCAGACAGTGAAATATTATTCAGAGCTAAAAAGAAGTGAGCTGTCAAGCCATGAAAAGACATGGAGGAATCTTAAGTGCATATTACTAAATGAAAGAAGCCACTGTGAAAGGATACACAATGTATGATTCCAACTATACAACATTTTATCATGAACTAATGTTCAATAACTCCTACTAATTAGTAGGAAAAAGAACAAAATCAATAAAAACAGTGGCCCAAGATTTAATTAGAAATTCACCAAAAAGCATATCTAATAGCTAATAAATATGTGAAAAAGTTTATCAACATCGTTATTTGAGAGAAACAAGTAAATGAAAACCAGCATGATATGCATTTCCACACACAGAAAAATGGCTAAAATTGGAAAAATGTGGAACAAGTAGAACTCTCATACATTGCTTCTGGGAATATAATTTGGTATAATTACTTTGGAAAATTGCCAATATCAATAAAAGATAAACATATGAATAACTTATGTTGAAACAATCCTACCCCTTAGGTATGTATACGCCCCTTAATAATAAACGCATATGTAAATAAAGTTTTTAGCAGCTTTATTCAAAATTTCCATCTATGTTACAATGGATACATAAATTGTCTTTTGGTTTACTATGGGACCACTGAAATGGGGTTCAAGATTTGAATCATAGATCAAACTCACAAGACCCAATGGCTTATTTAAATCCAGTTTGACACAGATCAGAGAATACACCATTGTAGACACCAGCAACATCATCTATAACTGATGAACACCCAGATTCATTTTCAAGTGACCTCAGGCACTATATACAGGATATGGTTTTGTTGTAAGGTTAGCCCAAAGCTGATATGTGTGCATATCACAACAACATAAATGAGCCACCAGGTATATGGTGTCCCGGCTTAAATACCTTGCTAACCGCTATAACGTTAAGTGACTAGCTCCCTTTCCTTAATGAGGCCTTAGTCCACACATTGTAAATTATATAATAAACAAGCCTGCCAGCCAATGACACAGCCTAAAGAATATTCTTTGAATAGTATTCAGCACATGGCAGGCCCTGCAGAACAACGACCTATTTTTAGCATAGATGTTGCAAGATATTTGAATGAGGGCAAACCTTTAAACTAGATGGTTCAATAAGACCATCCTGCTTATCCTTCCCTAAGAGGCCATCTTTTAGCCCTCATCAACACATCCTTGCCACCTATCCCTGGGGGTATATATAGATACAATTTCTCTATATAGAATATATATGTGTGTATATATATACACGCAATTTAATAGAATAATATGTGCATGCATATGTGTGTATATATATATGTGTGTGTATATATATATGTACACACGTATGTATGCACATATTATTCTATTAGAGTGTTTTTCCTGGAATTTAGTTCATACAAGCAAACATACTAAGACTCCAGTAACTAGCATGATAAGAATCATCTGATGATATGAGGGAATATCTTAAAAACACAAAATGAAGCAATACAAAAGAAGTTAATTGTAATCATAACAATTCAAAGTTATTATTATTATTATTATTGCCTCAAGCTGCAGGGACTTCTCTCTTTCCTCCTTAAAGTAGTTTTCGTTTATTTTACCCTTTGGGGTTATTCTTCTCAAAAGACTGGCTATGTACTTGAATTATTTTTATTTTAAGAATTCTATCAATAAACAGAGGAAAAGTATAACTAATATGAGAAAGTTACAAGGGCTTCATAATACTTCAAAGCTCTTGCAACCATTTCCACTAGTTCAGGGATAATACCTTCTATCTCTCATCAACTTTCTCCCTACTCCTGACTCTCCTCAAAGAATGCTTGATATACATCACCAATCGTTTACCACATGCTTTACACACTAAACATAGAATTGGCCCCAGAATCTCATTTAATACAGTGGTTCCATAATGGAGTCTTCCTCTCCATTCTGCTTCTGTTCCTGACTTCAAAGCTCCACTCTGTATTCTGAGTCTTTCTTCCAAGCAGGCACAATGTTCACGAATGGTTCAGGCTGAAATGTATTGTATTTAATGTTTTATTTATTAGAGACATGTATGGACAGAAATACTAGGCTGTGAATGAAGTAATAGAAATAATGAAGTAATGAGAAAACTTAGTTAATGTTGGTCCTCTTGTTGTGAATGGGTCTCTTCAGTTACTCCATAGGGTCACATTCTTTCAAGCAGCAATGAGTTGTAGGTCTTGCACAGTATGACATCCCAAATTCTTTATCACCACATTTATTTTTACATTGACCACCAAGCTGTCTACATGCATTCCACCAATTAAAGACAGGATAGTACTCTTTACTTTTAGCTGAAAGGAGGCAAGAATAGATGGAATTAATAATCTAAGTAAGAAATGCCAAGATTTAAAAGAAGGCACACGAAGAAGCATAGACCATAGAGGGGAGACAAAGGAAAGGGAGTCTCTCATTTTTTCATTCGAATCTTTCTGTCCCTACCTATATCTGGCAAATCAAGGAAATCAATAAGCATTTAATTCCTAAGCTAGATGTCTCTCCCCTACAAATTTCAATCTATTAGGTAGTGACTCAATAAGGGATATCTGAAGAGCTTGCAATTTATTAACACTTTCCTCTGTCTGTCTTGCTTATCCCCCAGGACCATTGAATACAAGTGTGCCAATCTCCATCTTCTCCCTCATTTATTATTCATGCTTAGTTCTGTTCTATGCTGAATCCTTTCCTCCCCAATTATTCATTGTAACTTGACTTCAGCAGTTCTAAAATACTGAAAAACACTGTTTTATTTTATTTAAATATCTCCACTCCTCTTGGATCTACAGGCCACCCTCATCCCCAGGAGAAGTTCTGCTTAAAAAACAAAAAACAACAACAACAATAAAATACAGATACTTTCAGAAATTAACATAATGAATAAGAAATGAACAGAAAAATGAGCATAATGAACATTCTAGTGAGGCTCTTAATTTTTCAGGGCTATTTCCCCTCCTTGTTTCTCACATTAAGCTTTCCAAAGCTATAGAAACTTAAAAGAAATTTTCCAGTCTCACTTTGCACTGTAATTCCTATGATGTTTTTAAGTTCAGCAATCGTGAGGAATGAGGTAAGGATTTGGATATGAGGAGTCTCTGTCACTAACATAAGTTCTGAAATGCCGGAGAACGTTTTCATTCATTCCCTGTATCTATACGGAACAAAACTATAAATAAACGGTGTAGATTAATGAAAGGCCAAGTTTTGGCCCAATATAATAAATGAATTTTTAACATTGAAAGCTTTTATAAGGATCATGAAATACTTTGTCTTAGGAAATACATATCTACCATCCTGACCAAATATAATCAGGCCCTACTGGACATATTTTAGAATGTGGGCCAGTATGGGTGAGATATTGTCACTGATATCTATAAGCCTGCTTTCATCCCAAAGACCCTTTAATTCTGTAATCAACCAAATCCTTGTCCATCTTTTTTTTAGTAAAACATTTTCGTAGAGGTTTTTAATATACATATCATTTTATTTATTTATTTTTTCCCATGAGGAGGACCAGCCCTGAGCTAACATCCAATGCCAATCCTCCTCCTTTTTGCTGAGGAAGACTGGCCCTGGGCTAACATTCGTGCCCATCTTCCTCCACTTTATATGGGATGCCACCACAGCATGGCTTAACAAGCGGTGCGCCAGTGCGTGCCCAGGATTCAAACCAATGAACCCTGGGCCGCCGCAGCGGAGCACGCGCACTTAACCACTGAGCCACCCGGCCGGCCCCACATACCATTTTAAATAAAGTAGAAATATTACTGATAAATTTTGCAGCAAGTGGTTTTTTTTTTTTTTTTGTGAGGAAGATCAGCCCTGAGCTAACATCCATGCTAATCCTCCTCTTTTTGCTGAGGAAGACCGGCTCTGAGCTAACATCTATTGCCAATCCTCTTCCTTTTTTCTTTTCCCCCAAAACCCCAGTAGATAGTTGTATGTCATAGTTGCACATCCTTCTAGTTGCTGTATGCTGGATGCGGCCTAAGCATGGCCGGAGAAGCGGTGCGTCAGTGCGCGCCCGGGATCTGAACCCTGGCAGCCAATAGCGGAGCGCGCGCAGTTAACCGCTAAGCCACAGGGCCTGCCCAGCAAGTATTTTAATTAATGAAGATTTTGAGGCTACTGTATCACTGAGTATCCTTTCATCATACTCTGGATTTGCAGGATGTTGTGAATTCAGGAACCTAGACGTCAGCACTCTAAGCAGATCTGTTAGCCAGTAATTGCACATTATTTGTAAATAATATTAATAATAACACCAAGCCCAATATTTTCTCTGAGATGGGAAAGGTATGTCTCATAACCAAATAATCTCAGCATAGGCCTCTACCCAGAGCAACATATTACAAGGGGAGGGTATTCAGAGAGAAGAACAATTTTGCCTAAACCCTTGCATTCTTTTCTTTTTAAAAATATTTTCTTATATTATAAAATAAAGCAAAAAATATAAATACAAAGCTTAATGTATTACTATAAATCAAATATCTATGTAATTACTACCTACGTTAAGAAATAAAACATTGCCAGAAGCTCTATACATACCTCCACTGAGTCACAATCTTCTCCCTCTCTCCCAAGAGTAACCACCGTCTTGAATTAAATACTAATTTCCTTATATTTTTGTGACTCAAGTATATCTTCTTTACTCTTGCTTTTGCATATATATATATTTAAAATATGTTGGCATTACATAGATATAGATACATAGATGTACATATATCTCTCCAAGGAACAGAGAATCATATAGTATTCTTGTTTGGTTTCTGTTTTTTCTCAATTAAGATTGTATTCATATAATTCAACTATGTGGTTGGATATAGCTATAGATTATTGATTTTCATTAATACATGGTATTAACTTGATTCATTTGTTACAATTTTGATGACCATATAGGTTATTTGCTATATGGCAAATAATGCTGTTATTAACATTCCTAGACTATTTCCTGGAGCACATTTAACAGTCTTCTGTTGGGTAGACATATTCACAATAGAAATCTTAGGTCATAGAATATAAATGTCTTCAGCTACAATAGATTATGACAAATTGTTTTCCAAATTGATGCTAACAGTTTCACTCTCTTCAGCAGTGTATGAAAATGCTTATTTTTCCATTTGCCTTGCAAAACTTTGTATTATCTAACTTTAAAAACTTTAAATATTCTGTTGAATGTGCGGTGGTATCGTTTCATGGTTTAAATTTGCATTTTCCTGATTGATTGCTAATGAGGATGAGCACTTTAAATGTTTGTATATCCACTTTTTCAAATTACCTTAGTCTTTTCCCCATATTTCTGCTGAATTATCCATCTTTTTCTTTTGATTTATTAGAATTCTTTATATATTCTAGGTACAAGCATTGTGTCAGTTATATATGGTGCAATTTTAATATTCCAGTCTATGGATTGGCCAAGCTAATATATAAGAACTGAATGAATTTTTGCAAACTGAGGTTAGTGATCAAGTGGTGTTATGGCCAAGAGGGAAGGACCTTAGAAGCCTGTGAGTCCTGAAGCCTAAGTTTGAGATGAAGGTGACCAGATATTGCATATTAATGTAACTTATAATTAATGTAAAATTAAATAATTTTAAATTAAAATATAGTTAATGTAATTCTCTAAGTTAATATAAATATAGGTATAGATAGAGAAATATTGATAGCTATATAGAGAAATAAAAATAGACATTTAGAGAAAGATTTATATAGATAAATCAATGTATGTTATAATAAAGGTAATTTTGATTTTGAGGAGTCAGAACTTCAGAATTGCAAACTACAGACCAAGGGAAGATTTAAACTTATGTATATCAGTCATAGTGAGTAAAAGTGATTTTTAAACTTGTTTTATAACATAAATTCAGGCCTTTCCACTTATACACATTGCCAAAAATATCTGGTACCCAAAAAGTGGTGACTACTGGTATTTATTTTTTTAAAAAATGTCTTAAAACAACAGCTGTTACTGGATATAGATAACTGCGATAAAGGATATCTCTTCTTTAAATTGACTTTCTTCGAACCCTAACTGAAGTGATATGGTATACAACAAAACTTAAACAAATAGAATCACCAAAGAACAAATTATTTTTCTATATAGTTTAAACATGAAATATTAGCAATCAGCTCTTGCCGCTGTAACTGAACTCTTACAGCATCCTGAAATCAAATCCACTCGGAATCTTCTTAGGGTCATAAATCTGAGTAAGGTCTGAGTTAGCTAATAGTACCTCACCTTCAGAGAATAATCTTCAACTTGAGCATTATGGTCCAACAAATCAGCAAACTTTTACATGCTTCTGTCCTTGTTTCTTGTTTTCCAAATATCTTTGTTATCTTCATTTTTTCCCTTTATGCTCTCTAGATATGTGCATTCCTGAAGACTCCTTCTTTGGTTCTCCTCTTTCCCTCTATCCATGCATTTATCTATTCATTCATTCATTGATTCATTAAATAAATCTTTTTTTTTTTTTTTGTGAGGAAGACCAGCCCTGAGCTAACATCTGATGCCAATCCTCTTCTTTTTTTTTGCTGATGAAGACTGGCCCTGGGATAACTTCCATGTCCATCTTCCTCCACTTTGTATGAGACTCTGCTACAGCATGGCTTAACAAGCGGTGCATCGGTGCTTGCCCAGGACCTGAACCAGCGAACCCCGGGCCACCGCAGCGGAGCACACGCACTTAACCACTTGCACCACTGGGCCGGCCCCTAAATAAATCTTTATTGGGTACCTACTATACGTCAAGTGCTGTGGTGGACATTAGCAATGCTATAGTGGGCCCCCCAAAATATGGCCCTGGTATAAACTAACTTGAACAAATACCTCATCATTAAGTCTTTTTCTGAACACTGTCACAAAAAGAACTCTCTTTCTTTACCCTCTCATAGAAATTTATTTGTATGACTCACATGGTGTTTGTAACACTCTAACTTGAGAAGATATTTTGGTAAATGATATTCTAAATCATGATTGAGATAAAGACTAAAACAGAGAACAATTCCTTTTTAAATACATCCCCAACACCCAGTATGGACTTTTGTTGTTCAACTGCCATTTCAAAGTATCTTAATCACACCATCTTTAGAATTAACAAGAATATCTTTATTACTCTTCTATATAACAATATACTTTGTATATCCAAAGACATCAGGGTTATGGACAATGGACAGTGGTAACCGACAACAAGAAATTTTGTCAGCTGTCAGGTAAGAGGGAAACCAAGACAACAGTTGACTCTTAAGCATAAGGGCACTAATGACATTAACACATATAATAATAAGGATGCTGGAAGCAACGACTGGAGAATTTTCCCTCTAGGATATAGTAAGGATACTTGTCTAGACAGAGATTCATCAAAAATGGGATCACCTGACTTTAAAATAAAACTTCTTTCTCATTTTGAACATGAAATTCAGCTTTCATAAAAGTAGAAGGTGAAAGACCAGAAGAGCCAAGTCAATAGGGACTGGGATAGAGAACATACGTAGGATGTTTCCTTCATTTCATTTGACAGATAGTGATTAAAATGTGCAAGAAATAATTCTACTTATTTTATTTTACCTGTGTCGTTTTCCACTGTAGCATATTGTGCCTTTTCAAATATTGTGGAAAAAGTGTGTAACTTTGAGTACAGTGTCTCAAACTTCCGACTACATTTGGTCTTCGATGATGGCATGTGATTGTTAACATGTTCGTCAGAGCCTACTGAAAAAGAAAAATGTTATTTCAAAAGTATAAGAAAAGAATGTTTTCTGAAATAAGAACACTAAGTATTTGTCTGTATTTCATGGCCCTATAAACTATAAGATGTTTTAAAAAATGACAAACGTATAGTACACATTTCTTTAAAATTGGGTTGAATACGTAAATGCATGACTTGGTTATTAATAAGATTACTTCACGTGGCTATTGTAAGAAGGACTGAATTAATGTGGGCAAAAGGCAGAGCAGATGCTAGTTATTAAAATCATTATTATTAAGAAGAAAAAGTACATATTGAGATCTATATAATTCTACATAATATCTCAGAAAATTTTGAGAAGTAGAGGGAATTTTAATGAGCATGTTCTAGTGAATTTTTATGAAGATGATGAAGGAAAAAGTTATTCTTATTTAAATTAATTCCAACTTGCGTTCCGTGGATTACATTATCAGTTTAGGTTCATTTACTTGTCCTCTTTTGGTAAGACATTGTCAGCTAAAACGTTATTTATGTTTGAGCGTTAGAGCAGAGAAGTAGTGGGAGAATGGGATATAATAGACATATTTTATGGTGATATCGTCTGATCTCAATAACGACAGATATATTGGTGATCCAGGGAATGTAGCAAGATAAAGAAGAACGAGAATTTAACTGGAAATATACGTGTGCAGCTAGTGTTACTCATGACTACAATAAAATTTGGACTTTTAGCAAGCCATTCAACCTCACTTAACCCCTGCTATCAATACTATAAGTGTGTGATGAATAATTTCCAAGCATAAATTCATTCCATTCCTAACTTTTTTCACATCTATTATTATATTAAATTTAGTAGAATTTGAATATTGAGTAAACACACATTTTAGGGCTTGATTAAATCAATATAGCACCATTTTCTTCCAACAGATTACATATACATGGATATATATAATTTCATATAATCAAAGTGAATTACAATCTTTACTAGTATATTGCCCTTGAAAAATTATTCAAATATTTTCTCCAGCTACGGGCTGTAAATAAACATAATGTGATCTTGCTGGTGGTATTAATATAATAATTCTAGAATGTTAATGATATTCACTTTAAAAAATCCTGCCCCTCCCTTCTTTAGTGCTGACCCCTCTGGCAATAGTATTCATGTTACCTGGTGGAACGAAGACGCCAAAGAAGAACAGAATAGAAAAAAAGAGAGGGATCTTCATTGTAAACGAGTTCCTAAGAGAAAACAGTCCACAGATCATCTGTCTTAACTCAGATATTGTTGAAATAAGGAAGAAAAGAATGTTTTCATTTATAGAACTCTCCTGCATAGTATTGATTCCTGAAGGTTATTAAGAGTAAGAACATTTCCACGCTTGGTTGAATAGTGCCATGTACAAAGAGATGTTAGATAGAAAAAGCTGGTACATCATCACATAAAAAAATGCCATATACTGATTCCTCTTAAGGTCAGTTTCTCTAAGACATTTTAACAGTTACAAGATGATGGTTATAAATTGCTAAGTGATCAAGGTTGAAAATAATCCTGCAGCAATTCACATGATATTCCAGAAGTACGTGTTTTGTACAGTCACATTTACCATTTTAATGTCCCTAATATAAAAAATGAATCTCAATGTAATAAGAAATCCAAAACAGAATTTTAGACTGAAATTACCATTGAGAACATTTAGTTTTACACATAAAAGTATTGAGATCCAGAGTAGCCAGGTGAATTCATAATTCATATCATTTTTATTTAGAATATATATAAACATAAATAATGACAGTATACTGATATGTTTGGAAATTACCTTATCTAGCTTAGTTGTACCTTGAAGAAAAGTCTTTCTCCTCAAGTAAGATTTAGGAATGTCAATGCATAAACGTCCCATGTTATAAAGTCAGATTGCATTTCTCTTTTTCTTCTATGTAGCTTTGAGTTATTTCTGAGCTCATCCTCAAGTTTTCCACAGTCTACTGTAGTAGACATTGGAAAGGAGTAGCTGAAATTGTTCCCCAGGTCCCATAAACAGATGTTAGGAGCAACAGTCCATTGATTCTCTTTAACCACACCCAAAGAGGGCAATAAGAACCTGGATATAGGAGTCCCAGTGAACATCAGTCACCCTTATTCTACAGCAACAGAGGTGTTTGCTATTAAAACACGTATAGATATTCAGAATCTTGGCCAAGCTTCCTGAACAAAAGTAATAAAGAAATATGTCCAAGAGTTGTTTCCTTCTATAACCAATTTCTTCACTCTATAAAATAAGAATTAAAACTGAAAGAAAGCTAAGAACTTGCTGAGAAACACATGATTAAGAATTTCACCATTATCTAACATAGAGTAAGACCATGCAAGCCTGTCTCTATGTAAGATTAATTCAAGAGAAATTAATCAAACACCTATCATGTGCCCATTACTTCTCCAGGTCCTGTAGTATAACTATAAAGAAGATACGGTATTTGATGGTTGTGGATGAGAATAAGTACTAGTTGAATCACTGAAACTAAAATTCAAATTCTATTAAAAACAATTTATTGGGTACCTTCTGTATTATCAGAATTCCTGTGAATAAACATAAGGAAAAAGCAGAGAAAAAAGGTCTCTCATTGATTTTCTATTCTATTCTGTTCCGAAGATACAACAAAGGTGCAATACCACTACCTTCCTCTAAGTACTGAGGCCAATGAGAAATTTATTTTGGATATTTCATTTATTAAATCTGAAGAAAAAACCCACAAATGAAAACATTACTGCTGATTCATTTAGGATACTTTGTGACCCAGGTCTAACCCTTTGGAGAACAGGGAAACCACTCCCTTTTTTGAACAGATAAGCATTGTTTCACTCTTTCGCCCTGGATGTCCGACATGTTAAACACATTCTCCGGAATCTATGTTGTAAAGCAGAACTAGACTATTCCTTTCAACATTTATTATTTGTATATGAGAATACATATCATTTAAGTTGTTTTTGTTTTACAGATATAAAGAATTTAAAATCATGGACAACTGGATAATTTAGGAATGCCTGGATTCATTAATTACCATTCTATGATCACCTCATAGTTATTCGAGTTATTTAGGAAACAGATATAAAGATCTTGCCACTGCCTTGAGAAACTCAAATTATTTTTGAAAAGACATGCAAAGAAGTATATGACAAATCAATAGGATAAATGCCATAAAAGTTGTATGAAAATAGCTCTGATTTGTCTTCTGAGTTTAGTATTTTTCCTCCTGTAGCACAAAGGTCAACCCTGAAGATTGCATATTACAATGTTTCTGGACTAAGGATTTTGTGGATCTAATAAGAAAAACCTAGATGGTGGAAATTAAAGCAAAAACTGGCATATTGAGTACATTAAGAAAGTATTTTATCCTGCTTCATTTTCTCGTCACTTCCTAATTCTCCTTATTAGATTATAGAAAGCAAATTATTACTACAATTAGTAGTTTGGGGTCTACAATATTTAAGTTATCAAAATCCACACTATTTGGATAGCAAAGATGCACAAAATACATTTGCCCTCTGCTGGTCAAGGAACAGGGAGAATATCTCCCCTCTGACTGCTGAGATTGTCCTCTTCAGGAGCAAAATCTCCCCATTAAGTTTGCCCTTATTCCTAAGAAATTATTTATTATTATTATTATTATATTTTTGGTGAAGAAGATTAGCCCTGAGCTAACATCTGCTGCCAATCCTCCTTTTTTTGCTATGGAAGATTGGCCCTGGGCTAACCTCTGTGTCCATCTTCCTCTACTTTATATGGGACACCACCACAGCATGGCTTGATGAGCAGTGCAGAGTTCCGCACCCGGGATCCGAACCTGTGTACCCTGGGCCGCCGAGGCAGAGTGTGCGAATTTAACCGCCACACCACTGGGCCGGCCCCAGCTACTTTATTATTTTTAATTGCCATAAAAAGGAATTTTCAATTTCTCCAAATACTTTAGGGGAAAGAAGTAAGAGGAAACTAGCAAATCCAAACTAAGAAATCAACTCTAAAAAAATAGCTATGAAAAGAGAGACGGAGAATCCCAAATTTAACAAATTGTTGCTTGTTGGACTGTGGGGCTCAAACTGTTCCTTTACCTTTATCCAAAATCAAGAGATACCATCCATCAGAAAATCTCCTGCCAGCCCACATGGATTTATAATTGGTAGCAGAAGCAGAAACAAAAAGAGTGAACTATCCTCATCAACCTTTTCTATCGCATCCCTTGCCTTGCAGCTGTTAGATGTGGTTCTTTTTTTCCATAGTAACGAGAGTCTGGTATCCACTTCTGATTCTGAGTTTATATTTCACGTGTTCAAAAGCTCACAAGAAACGATTACAAGGATTAAAGAAGTAGTGTTTACGGATAATTAAGTGAAGCTAAAAAAAACATTCACTCTATTATTTTTTTAATCTTTTTATCTTAAAGAGTAAAAACAGAGTTAATTTAATCCTCATTTGTTACCTTATAAGGTAGCAATTTGTATGTAACAATTACTCCTTCCTTAAAAGGCTCAAAATACAGTTAGTTTCATCTTCTGTTGGTTATCTACTATACAAAACTCTTGTAATATTAACTCCTGTTTATACCTTTTTCTGGAGAGTAAGAACTCCGAATATGTAGTCTCTGATTCCTTGTATTTCCCTGAGCATCAAGAATTTGCAAAATAATGACTCTTAACAAACTTGTGTAAAATAAATTAATGAAAGAATGTGAAAGGAAAAGGTAGAGCAGACGTTAACCAATATGGCCCCGATGTTACCCAGAGTGGATGCTCCTCCTGAGTGTTTGTGTGTGTGTGTGTGTGTGTGTGTGTGTGTGCGTGTGAAGGAAAGAGAATGAAAAAGAGAGACAGATTGAGTGCACTCATGCTCATGCTCATACTCAGATGTTTTCTTCATTAAACACGGTCATTTTGTTCCTTTGTCTTTTATCATCTAAACCTCAGTAAGATCATAATTCTATATGAACAGGAATATTTAGACAATCATATAATATTCTTTTTAAAAAA